CTCTTTTTTTTCTTATATCCGTTTCTTAGTGTTATCCTGTTTTTTTTTTTGTGTATCTTTTCTGAATATGTATGTTTATCTGTCTGGCTGGATGTCTGGATGTCTGTGTGTGTGTGTGTGTGTGTGTGTGTGTGTGTCTGTCTTTGCCTATCTGCTATCAGTCTCTCTCTCTCTCTCTCTCTCTCTCTCTCTCTCTCTCTCTCTCTCTCTCTCTCTCTCTCTCTCTCTCTCTCTCTCTCTCTCTCTCTCTCTCTCTCTCTCTCTCCCTCTCTCTAAAATCACTAAAATCAAGAAATGAATTCATGAAAACAAATTCTTATCAATTAATAAAAAATAGTTGATAATTTCCTTCTTTATTTATAAACTGAAAGAGAGTTCATTTGTTTCTCGGGCCTGTTATGTATTGCAAAACTGTATTGTTCTTTGATGGCAACAGTGTGACTAATCATAATGATGTTTACGTTTTGTTTAAATGTCCTTACATTATATTTTGATATCTACTTGTATTATAATTTATATTCACACTGCATGGTATTACTTTATAATATTAGTATTCCAACCATTTCTATATTTCCGTGTTATCTACTTATTTATTGTATTGTATGACGCATTTACATTTTACGGTATTTTTATTGTATCTTTTCGCATGTCTCATCTACAATATATCAGTATCTACAATATATTATTTCCTGCATCAGCAATCTTTTGTATCGTAAATCGCACCTGTATTATTGTATTCCGTGTCATATCTATCGTGTCATATCTATATATATCGTATTTCCATCTCGTGTTTTACTGTACATCGCATATCATATGTATTGTGTATTTATCTGCACTCTATTGTATTTTTTTTCCTTTTTTTTGCCAGTGTTGCCTCCAGGCCAGAGTCCCGAGCTTATTATGGAGCTCCTCGATAGCATGAAAAAGTGCGGTAAGATTAATTGATGTTTACGTTAATCAGATTTAATTCATTTCACTTATTATCATTATTAGAATTTACTTTGATTTAATAGCGATGACGAGGTAGTTGTCATCCTTTTTATTTTTCTGGTTGTATATTATCATAATTTGTTTCATTCAATAACAGTGTAAAATAAGGCACTTATTACATATACAGTAGAATTAAAAATAACTGAATGATAGTAATGATGATAATAATCATTATGATGATAATGATAACAATGTATATTTGATAATGATAACAATGTATATTTGATAATGATAACAATATATATATATTTACATATATATATATATATATGCATATATATGCGTGTGTGTACACACACGCACACACACACACACACACACACACACACACATATATATATAAATATATATATATATATATATATATATATATATATATATATTTATATATATGGTGTGTGTGTGTGTGTGTGTGTGTGTGTGTGTGTGTGTGTGTGTGTGTGTGTGTGTGTGTGTGTGTGTGTGTGTATACATATATACACACATATTTGAATAAATTTGAATAAATATGTAAACACACGCATACACACACCTACTAGTGTCTGTGTATGAAATTATGTGTTTCTTTGTAAAACCAGATAAATAATGAGTGAATCTGATCAGAAACCCAGTAGTGTCGCTCGCTCTCCCCCAGACCTGTGCGTGTGTCCGCGCTGGAGCCCCTTGGCGAACTGTGAACCGCAATCGGAGGATAACATGAGCATAAGCGAGTGCAAGACAAGGATCGACGTCCTATCACGCTCCTTCCCTCCTCGTCCCTTCGTCAGGAATCCTCGGAGTGACCGCCCGCTGCCTTCCCCGGCCGCCCAATTGGACCTCCAAGCCCCTTCTGCCAAAAAGGATGCACTTGGAGTCTTTGGAGAATACGAATCGTCGAGGAGGAAACTGGGTCGAAATCCTGCAGGTCTTTCATCCTCTGGGCTTCGTCGCAGGAGGGCCCATCCAGAGGGCGAGCTCGGCCACAGAACCGCCTGGAAATTCGATCATCCCCAAGAAGTGGATTTCAAAGCCTTTCGTACGTTCAATTCGTTCAATGACGTGGCGCTGGAACACAGCCGCAGCAAAGAGTACGGTGATACGGCAAGCAAAGCCACATGGAGAACTAAGAACATTCGCACAGTGAGCAAAACACTCGACAAGCTGAGGAGAACTAGGAAATTCGTGACTGAGGACACCACCAGCATTCATAAATCCATCTCAGATTCATCCGCTTGTGACACCTCTTTCGTGGACACAGTCTTATGTGACGGAGTCGCTCAGGGCGAAACTAGCACAAGACACAGCATTTCTGGCAGAGGGCCTCTCGGAAGTCTGTCTCCTTCCCACGCCTTTCCAGCAGACACAGCCAGATCCAGTAACAACGACATGAACAAAGCTACCTATACAGATATGATAGATAAAGTTCCTCATATCTCGGAGAAAACCACATCAGACAGTCTCCACGTCTTAAAAGCATCCACACCAAGTCCCGGTGGCGTGAACGAAGTAGACGAAACCGCCTCACATGAACGCCTCAAGATCGAAACACTTGAACATCGAAACAAGCGAACTGAGAACGAGAGCGGGTTAGCGGAGAGGCACAACAGCGTGAAAGCTGACCCAACTAGCGGCCCATGCAAACCGAGGTCAAGTCTTTGTCGACCGAAGAAAAGAGAGAGGCGATACCTCAGCTCGGTCGTGCCCCAGATGGCTCACGGCTCTTTCAGCAATCGAAAGCCATTTCCTAGGAGACACCTCGAGGATGGCCGGTACAACATACTGCTCCGTCGAGGCCAGGGAACACCCCCACCGCCCCGAAAGGACTTGCAGGGCCAGCTGATCCTCAACATGAGGCGAGTCGAACACCACAACGAGACCCAAAGTGCGTACGACGTGGAGGAGGTCGTCGACCCCGAGATCAACGACTGCTTCTGCGAGTATAGTTCCCAGCTGAAGTGTCTGGGGGAACGGATCACCAGAATCCCCAGCAGGGTCGTGGGGAACGTCACTTGGTTGTGAGTACGATTTTGCTCGCTCGCTCTGGTCAGTTCGCTCGTTCTTTCACTTCTCCTTTCTCGCCTTCGTTCACTTCACCTTTCTCTCTTTTTTCACATCGTTCAATTTTTTTGACTCTGTCTTTCTTTCCTCTTTTTAACTGTCTTGCCATGCACTTCTTTCCGATAAAGCTTAACAAACATTGCCTTTGTAGGAAGCCAATTCGTCGTCCTCCTCTTTCTACCGTTGCACTGTTCGAATAAACGTGACGAAGAATCTGAAATTTGAGATTAGGTTTTCATTGGTTAGATAACAGAATATTACATCAGCGAAATTTATTTACTGTAGGCGCAAAACAGAAAAAACTCACACCATTTTCTCACAACTAACTCCCTGCATTCTGACTTATCTTAATGATATGGCATAGTGTATTTCGACATAGTTTTAACTTCTAAACTATTATTTGTTGCTATAACTGCATAGGTAAATCTCTCTCTCTCTTCTCCTCTCTCTCTTCTCTCTCTCTCTCTCTCTCTCTCTCTCTCTCTCTCTCTCTCTCTCTCTCTCTCTCTCTCTCTCTCTCTCTCTCTCTCTCTCTCTCTCTCTCTCTCTCTCTCTCTCTCTTCTCTCTCTCTCTCTCTCTCTCTCTCTCTCTCCCCTCTCTCTCTCTCCTCCCTCTCCCTCCCCCCTCTCCGTCCGCGTATATCACAATAGTAACACGACTTCTGCTATTCTCGCCAGGCCTACATTTATCACAAAGAAATAAACTACTACCAATATGAACCTCACCCTCATCATTACCACTATTATCCTCACCACCACCGCCACCAAAACATCCCCATCATCACCATTCTTACCATTAATACGACAATCCTACCACTAATACGACATTCCAACCACCGCAACCGCCGTTCTTTTCCCTCGCACGTTTCCTCTCTCCGCCCGCAGCATCGTCAGGATGAGTTCGGTCCGACACCTCGATGTCGACGTGATGGCTCAGTACTCAAGTCTCAGAATAATGTGAGTGGTCTTTGGAAGTGTTTAAGGCCTTGGGTGTTCTAGGTCTGCTTCGCCTTATCATTATTATTATTATTGTTATTATTATCATGGTTATTATTATTATTATTATTATTATTGTTATTGTTATCATTGTTTTTATTATCGTTATTATAATGAATGCTATCATTGCTATTATCATTATTTCTATTCTATTATCATGATTATTATTGTTATTATTATTATCATCATTATTATTATCATCATTATCATTATCAGCATTATTCTTATTATTGTCATTATTGTTATCATTATTATCATTGTCGTATTATCATTGTTATTAATGATTATCTATCATTTTTATTATTTTCATTGTCACTTTCATTACCTTATGAGTGTTATTATCATCATTATCATCATCATACTCTTCATTGTTCTTATTACTTTTATCATAATACAGATTATTAGTATCATTATTTTTACTGCAACTGTTAGAATAATTATCATTATCATTGTCAATATATTATTTCTATGTCCATTGTTATTACCAAGAGGATAACCATTATCATCATTATTATTATCATTATGATGGTAAATTTTAATATCAATATTATTAATTGAGAGACTTTTTGGCGTGGTGTGCTCTGATTGGCTGGTAAGTCTGAGCATGCGCAACATCAGGCTCTCTGTGATTGGTTGTAATACGGATGCAGGGGCATCGGGATCAGTTCGAATCCTGGAATCATAGAGACAACAGTGATATTGACATTGGCGATGGATTTTTGGACTTTATTGAGCTTGAAACAGCCATAAAGCGTTTGGAGTTGGAGCACAATATCATGTTTTGTTTAGATTAGGTTTGGTTTGGTTTGATTTGATTAGGCTTGGTTTGGTTTGTTTAGATTTGGCTAGGTTAGGTTAATTTAGGGTTTGGTTAGGTAATGTTAGGTTAGGTTGTTTGGTTTGGTTAGGTTAGGTTTGGTTTGCTTTGATTCTGTTCAGTTTGGTTTGCTTTGGGTAGACTTGGTTTTGTTTGTTTA